CACACCTTCACACCTCTGTTCAATTTATACCAAAGTAAATAACAACTTTTTATGGTGCTAACAATATCACTTTTTTCACTTGAAATGGGATTTTTAGAAATAAGAAATTAATTAGTGTTTTATTTTGCTCTTTACTAGTAAATACAAAGTAATAAAAGATTTTAATAAGGATATTTTAGGGTAAAGAGTTATTGAGTCTGTTTATCTTAATTTTATTTTTACTTAAAGTCTTTTTATGTGCTTTTTATGATGAATACTATGTTAACATTTGAAGGAATATTGCAGCAAAATAATCTTTAGATTTGATAACTTACTTTTTCACAAAAATAAAAAAATAGTTAATGTAATTTACAGCTTTATTTTATGAGAAAAATTGATGTTATTTTAATTTTATCAAAACCAAAAGTACTGGGTAATGCAGTAGCAGTACCACTTTTTAAGACAGTAATGCAGTACCAGTACCAGTAGTAGCAAAATTTTGTAAGAGTAATTCAGTATCAGTACCAGTACTTGCAAAATCGCTGCAGTACGTACTGCAGTACCAGTACCAGTACCAGTAATGCAGCTCTGCCCAAGAATGCTACAGACAAAGTTTGGTGATCATCCATCAATTAGTTCTCTAGAAATAGACATTTAACAGTATTTCTATTTTTAGCTATAGAGACCCCTAAAAGGGGCTAATCAAATGAATATGAGCAAACTTGATAAAAGACTATCCAAGAATGCTACAGACAAAGTTTGGTGATCTTCCATCTATTAGTTCTGTAGAAATAGACATTTAAAGGTATTTCTATTTTTAGCTTTTGCGGCCCCTAAAAGGGGCAAATCAAAATAATATAAGCAAACTTGATAAAAGACTACCTAAGAATGCTACAGACAAAGTTTGGTGATCATCCATCAATTAGTTCTGTAGAAATAGACATTTAAAGGTATTTCTATTTTTAGCTATAGAGACCCCTAAAAGGGGCTAATCAAATAAATATGAGCAAACTTGATAAAAGACTAACCAAGAATGCTACAGACAAAGTTTGGTGATCTTCCATCTTAGCTTTTGCGGCCCCTAAAAGGGGCCAATCAAATAATATGAGCAAACTTGATAAAACACTACCCAAGAATGCTACAGACAAAGTTTGGTGATCATCCATCAATTAGTTCTGTAGGAGAAGGTGTTTAAAGGTTTTTCTATTTTTAGCCCTAGAGACCCCTAAAAGGGGCCAATCAAAATAGTATTAACAAACTTGATAAAAGACTACCTAAGAATGCTACAGACAAAGTTTGGTGATCATCCATTAATTAGTTCTGTAGAAATAGACAAAGGGTTTTTCTATTTTTAGCTTTTGCGGCCCCTTAAAGGGGCCAATCAAATTTATATGAGCAAATTTGATAAAAGACTACCAAAGAATGCTACAGACAAAGTTTGGTGATTATCCATCCATTAGTTCTGTAGAAGAAGATGTTTAAAGGTTTTTCTTTTTTTAGCCCTAGAGACCCCTAAAAGAGGCCAATCAAATTAATATGAGCAAACTTGATAAAAGACTACCCAAGAATGCTACAGACAAAGTTTGGTGATCATCCAACCATTAGTTCTGTAGAAGAAGATGTTTAAAGGTTTTTCTATTTTTAGCTCTGCTGACCCCTAAAAGGGGCCAATTGGAATGACATGAGCAAATTCAAGTGTGACTGTCACAACGATGCTACAGACCAAATTAGAAGTAAATCTGTCCAGTAGTTTCAGAGAAGAAGACGATTGTTGACGCATGACGACGGACGCCGGAGCATCCCCCTTTGATACTAATAGCTCACCCTGAGCCTTCGGCTCTGGTGAGCTAAAAAGTAAAACGCATGTATATACGAATGACTTACAGTCGAGCATCGCGAATCATCAACATATTTTACGAAACTTTAATTTGAAAACAATATTTGCGCGCGATGAAGTGATTAGCGTTTATTTGAATAAATAAAATAAAAAAAAATATATTTGTTTGTGTTCTAAAAATAATCGGTGGCATAAGAGGAATTTCGTATTCATTTTACAACACTTGGAAAATTACCGCAGAAAATGTGTTGTTGTTTTTTGTTTTGTTTTTAACAAAAACTTCCAAAACACGCTATTTATAACACCATTCATAGCACTGACGCTTCGATGTTCTCATCTATTTCGACGTACTCGTAATAACCGCAAACTCTGTTAAGCAGTACACATTTTAAGCTAGTGAGGTTTAAAACTATCGATAAACTACCATAAGTTGGTTGAGTGTTGGCGGTAAAAAAGATGATATAACTTCCTGATCAATTTTCAATTAGGTTGATGCAATTTTGAATAAGCTTTGCAGATATGTATTTTTTCAAGAAATATTTAGCTTTAATAAATATCCTAAGCCGTCAAAGTCAGCGACGAGTAAAAAATGGGAATAACTTTCTGAAACGTGATTTTATTCGAGATTTGCTTCGGGAGAACACAACCTCCTGTCCGTAGAGCAAGACTATTAAGACAGTATCTTTATTGATCTCATTACAGATAAATATAAAAACATCTCATCACAAGACAGTATCTTTATTGATCTCAATTATGGTACATGTAAATATGTATAATTTTTATGTTCATGTTTTTATGTTGCAGCTGTTATTATCATTCAATGATATTAAAATGACATAAAGTATTTATGATGAACAGTCCTAGAATATAGTGATAAGGAACCGTCAGTTGTAAAATGGTATTGTGATCTTATTATGAGCAGTCGTCATACTTGCTGGTATATGTCATTTATTATTGGCAGTTTAGGTTCTTCAAAATTTGCATGATTAACAGTCCGAATGTAGACCTCAATGAAAAGTACTGGAATATTAACAAAATGAATAGTCCACCATATTAACCATATATATGAATGGTTGAACACAACAGTAAGGATAAATGGCGCAATGGACAGATCTTCTTATTTTGGTAATAATTGATATTACAGCACATTTACATTGTAAAGCAAAAAGAAAAGAAACTATAAGTCTGAAACATTCTGTCATAGCATCCCCATCAGTACATTCAGTGCTTTGATTAATTAAGTAATGATTGTGGTCTGATTTGAAATGTCATCAGTTTTCGTGATTTGGAACCTTTGAGAATTGTTTCAGAAAAAGCAGTTAATCTATCTCTCTGTTAACTTTCATTCCTATCACTTTGCACATTGTGTTTATTATATTTTGCAGAAGTTACAGCAGAGAGAGAGCTCGACAGTACGTGTGTTTGAAGAAGATAATGTTATTATTTGTACATTAAGTTCCACGAACTGGTAAGTTTAGAATTTATTTATGATTGTAATGTATTTTATGATAACTTCATTGAATGAACTTATGATTGTGCCAGCCAATAGAAAGCATATAGCTATGTTATATGTAAACACACCTATAAGTAAGCTGTTCAATGTGTTGTAAATATCTAATACACCGATTCAGAACTAGCAGACGAGAGGCTTTTCTTATCAGTAGTTTTACGAGTAAATTAAACAGGTTGTGTATTTCACTGTATAAATCGTATATAAATGGTCTGACATGTGGTAGGTTTAACAGTTAATTTAAATACTTTGTGGAGTTAAAGATGTGTTGAAGAATATACTGTGACGAAGCTAAGATCCACCGTTTTCTATTGGTGAAATACATTCTAAAATCAGACATTTAATCACAACAAACTAGGGGTTAAAAAACGGCTCATTTTGTATTGTTTTAGCATAAGAGATATCAATTTTACTCGAAAATAAGGGAAGCAACTTGTATTTTTTCACTCGATATACCTCAGTTATTTACGTAGATAACATCGAAAGTATTTATGGGTTTATTGTAATTGACCATAAATTTGGATGTTTTTTTAATGATAACAATGCATTTCACACATAGGAAATTGATTTAACTCTATTTTTACGTTGATGTTATTTATTTACGTTCAGAGTGTTGATTTAGTCGATTTCATTGACTCTGAAAGATGATTGTTGATTGAATGATCTCATGATCAATCAACTAATTGATTTACTGATTGATTGGACAATTGTCATGGAGCTAAATATAGATGGAGAAGAAACTGAGACGTCACACAGTTAAATTCAGTATCGGTGGGGTTGTGTTAACACAAGTTATCATATGTTGCGGGAATTTCAAAGATTTGATGCATCCTGGGTAAAAGTAGCCAAAATACCGCCATATTGAATTCCCAGAGGTACATCGACAAAAAAAGATGAAGCATTTTCTACTTATATAAGAAGCAATAGTTATTTTTGTTAAAATGTACCATACACACTTTTCCACACAGATATTTCTCCGATAAAAATCCATGTCGGGAATGTAAACAATAGTTCACGGATATCACCGAAATTTAACGAGAGGGAGAGTATCGGAGACTGGCGGGAAAACACCGAAGCGCACAAAGGATTGTGGATCTAAATCTGACTATCGTCTATTTTCTGAGTTCCTATACATTGTATATATATCTGTGGACATGTAAGACGAATATACGTGAACTGTAAGATTTTATCATAAATAAATAGAGTTGAACTGTGCAAAGTTGTTTGTTTAGAAGAGAAATACATCATTTTTGGAGGAAAACCATTATATGTTTTTGTTTGAATGATCAAGGTATAAACACTTTTGTAAATGAACATCAGGCTTCCATTTTCATAATAATGGCAGGGCTTCCACTAATGGAAGTTTGGGAGTCATTTTACTCCTTGAATTTGGCTTGTGACATCCAAAATGTAATGCTTTTTTCTTTTTTACCAATATTATGTGACTACCAATGTCAAGACATTTTGCAGTCTTTGACTTCCAAATTTTGGAACTTAATGGAAGCCCTGAATGGACCTACATGTTTCACCTAAACTGTACGGGATATATGTGAAAAACTTCCTTTTAAAAAGTTTCTAGCCGAAGTTTTGCGAAGAAATGCATTGGTTACCTCAGAATATTGCTATGTTGTTAAAAAATTTCCATGCCTTTAGGTCACATATTCATGGAAAAATTCGAAAAAGGAAATTAGATTGTCAGGTGTATAGATTTCCAGTCTGCATATCATTTACATACAGTCTTGCAAAACTTCAGTAGTGTCCCTGGGGTCAAAATTAATCCTGTCTTACAGTAATGTTGTAAAAAGTTCTATTTAAAGTTTAATGTATATATGTATTGTAATAAATATATCAACACCTACATTATATATTTTTTTAAATTTTCATCTTTGTTACTTACTTTACATTATAGTTAATGCTATATTTGAAAATTGTTATTTTTTATCTTCTTTGTGACTATAAATGGAACTGTGTTTGTGCATATATAGGACAGTCTGTGGGTAGTGGTGTCATTGTATAAATCCTGTGTCAACAGTTGGTGAGTTTAAAATAGTAAACTACATTTTTTCTGGGTCACATTATTTTTATTTTTACACATTTTGATAGTTGTCGTCATTTAAAATATTTGTAAAAATTTAGTTATTATAGCTTTCTTTAATTTTCAAGTAATATAAATAAATATATATATTTTATATAGATAATTTTAATTTAAGTAATATTTCAATCATATGCATAAATCTTTCTGGTTATAGTTAGAATAAACAAGAAAAGCATTGATGCAAAGCATCAAAGGGCGTCCAAGCAAGAAATGCAGAAAGTGAAGATGAACTAGTAGACATATGATGTCAAGATATTCTTATAAACTTTTCAATGGTTAATTGGTTTTTACCAGAATGAACGGACGGAAGACATTGTTCATTATGAACTTTGATTGGCATGCTAGAGATTAGAATATTACTTGTTATTTCTTTATGATCGTGATTATTAATAGCAACGGATATACATGTATACAATCATTTATAATCCATATGTGTAACGCATGATCAACACCACACTTGTGGAATTGTCCCTTATTATGTAATCGCTATTAGCGAAGACCCCCTCTTAAGGTATCTGTTCACACTTAGTAAAAATATGACACTGGTTATATTACCATGTCATGTTGAGCATTATTGTTTATTATACAATAATTGTAATATCTATTTTAATAACAAAAATACAGATTTTATGAATATTGTTTTCCTCTCTTTTTTGTGTTTTTATGTGCTATTTTAATACTGAGTTTTTTACGTTTACTACTCTTTTTTTATTAAAATTGTAAAATAAATTTTAAGAATTCAATTGTCATATTGACCGACGATTATAAGTCAAAACTTAACTGGAAAAAGTCAGTAAATTATGGTTAATCTTTCAATATATAATATTGTTTATTCTTAAACCATGTACATGTACATTTGTATTTTTCTTTATCATTTTTTAAATTATCAATCAATTAAATAATTAATAAAATCTAATTTGTAACTTTGAATAATTCCTCGGCATCTTTACTAAACACGAATAACAAATTAAATAAAATGTTTCAAAGTTGATAGTGTCATATAAAAACCATAAAAATGTACCTTTTTTTCACAATTATTTTTAATTTATCTCATATAGATAAAATGAAACATGCTATTGTTGTTGTTGTTGGTGTTTTTTTTTTAATTGTATGTTTATGTATAATAATAATCAATAAATTTGAGAGTTGATCTATGTTTATAAATTATTGTAACCAAACTAAGTGACAAACATTCATTTTGGAAAAAAGCTTATTTATCTGTAAAATATTTGTTCTGTTCTGTAACGATATCAAACATCTACTCCAAAACCGGGAGAGACCAGACAATAAACGTGTGGTCACTAGTATCCCGGTCAAAATAGACCGGGAGAGACCGGAATTACCGATAGGAGTACATCCCTCTATAAATAGATTTTTGGAATATTTAGGTCATCAACTCATCATTCTATTTTAACATACTATGTTAACCCACTGTGTACTACAAAATGATAAATAAAAAACCGAAGAGACGGAAAAGGTTATTGCATTTGAAAATGTTTGCATTGCGAAATCCTCCAGTTCGCTATTCATTATACATATCGCGACATTTCATTTTTAATTAATAATAATCAAGCACCCTCATAACGATCGGAATGATCGGCTTTTATTATGACCGACTAAAAGGCTCGAAAAGTTGCTGTCGCCCTTTCACAAAATCTGATTTCATTCCATAAAGGGGCGCCGCGCTTCGGCGCGGACGCCAATAATACTACTATTAGTTCTACCTATTAGTTCTACCTATAAAACTTGTGTGGATCTAAATTTTTGGAAAAATATTTTATATATATGTACTTGATATATAAAAGTTCGAACCAAGAATTTTATAGAGAATTAATAGCTTATCATTTCGAACCAAGAATTTCGCTATTAATAGTAATATTTTTAGGTTGTGACCCAGTATAATTTTTTTGTTCAAGTGTGTTTATTGTAAAGGAAACGAGTGGTTCACTACAATAACCATTACACATGGTGGAAGATCTCCTTGCATGATTACATAAATTTCCTCTTATATTAATATCTATATTCTTCCTTTAATCCATCTTTAATTAATACTTGGCAGTTTGATATAGACGGCAATTACTGCTTAGAATTATTATAAATTCATCATTTCATCGTTTCGTGCTGGGTGATTGAGATCCGATTTAATTCCAGATTCTTTGACTGTTGAATTTAAAGTTGTTTTCCGTGAATTTTGGGTTTGTTTACACCTGTATTTTCACTGGTTGACCTTTGTGACCTTTCATTCATAAGTCATTACTCTGGCTGGTTGTTAATTGTCCGTAAGGTTGCAAACCTTGTTTGTACTACAATTTTGATTGGATTAATCTGACCCCTTTATATCGGATAATTCAAATATTGTCCTTTCCAAAAATAGTTGGACAGATGTGACCTAATTTTTTATTTCAGCTACCTGACACTTGTATATTTATATTCATTTTCAGGGAACAGAAAATAAAAGTTGGAGAACAGCTGTATTGAAATAAAAAGACTATATTGTGTTTGTTCATATATACATATTATTAAATTTATTTGTCCAGGTTTTCAAACTTTATAACATGGTATAAATGTTGTACTGAATCCGAATTTTAATTATGAGTTATTTGATATAAGATTAATCAAATAATTACTTAAAAGTAAATTGGTTATTATATATCTGAATTATGAAATAAGAATTTTATTTCTCCGATATATATCAGTTGATTAGTCTGATAATTTGAATTGTCAAACTAATTGATATCAGAACATTATAAACATATTTGATATCAGAAGTTTGATATCAGCAGAAGTTTGATATCAGAAGTTTATATATTTTTTTAATCACTTGAATTATTTGACAGATTGTGATTTATATTGAAATAATAAGGATTATTTCAATGTAGATTATACAATTATCACTTTAAAAAAATTGTCTTTTGTTGGAATAATTAGATTTATTTCAATATTTAAAAAATAACAAGAGCCACCGCCGAGCGGGGGCAACGCTCGACTTTTTACTTTTTCTAAACGCAAACATAGAAAGGTTTGAACATATATATTGATGTTTCCTTTTTATAAATTTAGTTGGTCTGTTTTGTCACATTAGTTTTGTTTATATATTTTGTATATATATGAATAGAAACATTAAGCATATTTCTAAAAATAGCAACAGTACGCAATTTCTAAAAATAGCAACAATGACGCAATTTCTAAAAATAGCAACAATGACGCAATTTCTAAAAATAGAAAAAATGACGCAATTTCTAAAAATAGAAAAAATGACGCAATTTCTAAAAATAGAAACAATGACGCAATTTTTAAAAATAGAAAAAAAATGACGCAATTTCTAAAAATAGCAACAATGACGCAATTTCTAAAAATAGAAAAAAATGACGCAATTACTAAAAATAGCAACAATGACGCAATTTCTAAAAATAGAAAAAAATGACGCAATTTCTAAAAATAGAAAAACATGACGCAATTTCTAAAAATAGAAAAAAATGAAGCAATTTCTAAAAAAAAAAAAAAAATGACGCAATTTCTAAAAATAGAAAAACATGACGCAATTTCTAAAAATAGAAAAAAATGACGCAATTTCTAAAAATAGAAAAACATGACGCAATTTCTAAAAATAAAAAAAAAATGACGCAATTTCTAAAAATAGAAAAACATGACGCAATTTCTAAAAATAGAAACAATGACGCAATTTCTAAAAATAGAACAAAAATGACGAAATTTCTAAAAAATAGAAAAAAATGACGCAATTTCTAAAAATAGCAACAATGACGCAATTTCTAAAAATAGAAGGAAAAAATGACGCAAATTTCTAAAAATAGCAACAATGACGCAATTTCTAAAAATAGAAAAAATGACGCAATTTCTAAAAATAGAAAAACATGACGCAATTATATACATGTATATATATATATATTTGATATATATATATATATATTTGATATATATATATATATATATATCTATATATGTATATATATATATATATATATATATACATGCATATACATATATATATTTATATATATATATATATATATATATATATATATATATATATATATATATATATATATATATATATATATATACCTGCATATATGTATATATATACACACACACATTTATATATATATTTATATATAATACATATACTATACATACACACACACCGATAAATGCACAATCTGAGAAAATTCAGTAATATAACCTTCAAGGTCAAGGTCATTAAAGAGCTCAAGCAAATTTGGGTTTGATAAACAACAAGGTCTGGTCCTTAAGAATGTTCTGTTATAATATGAAGTTTATCCCTTCAAAAATAGCAAAGTTACAGTCAGTTACTGCCAAAACAATGAAAATTTCAATAATTTGACCTTCAAAGGCAATGTCATTAATGAGTGAAGGTCAAGGTCTTTCGGTATATTTTTAACAGTTATCTTTGAAGATTATTATGTTCAAGTTTGAAGACAATCCATTCAAAAATAACAAAGTTACAGCCAATAATAGCCAAAAAAATGAAAATTTCAATAATTTGACCTTCAAAGTCAAGGTCATTGATGAGTGAATGTCAAGGTCTGACTGGTTATTTTTAAGGGATATCCTTGAAGATTATTATGTTCAAGTTTGAAGACAATCCATTTAAAAATAACAAAGTAACAGCCAATAACAGCATGAACAAGCAAAAATTGGACTTTTAACCTTGAAGGTCAAGGTCATTTATGGATGAAGGTCAAGGTTAGTGTGGTCTACTGAAAGGTCTTGTCCCAAGGGTTGTTGTGGCCAAGTATGAAGACAATACACCAAGAAATAAAAAAGTTATGATCCAGGTACAAGTTTTCGGACGGCAACGGCAACGGCAACGGCAACGGAGACGGCAACGGCAACGGCAACGGCAACGGCAACGCCGACCTGACTATAACAATACCTCTACTTTTTTTTTCAAAAAAAAA